TAGGTTGCAGTATCTCCTCCTAGTTTGGAATTTGTAGCTTGGCATTATTCCTAGGGCATGTCTGACAAATGACTCTGTAATGTATTTAGTATCTTGCGGGGTGAAGCCCTTGGAAATTTCACTTCCAAGCATGTAAAATTTCTAAAATTGATTTCAGTTTTAGGCATGTAGCTTTTGCAACTAGAAATTATAGAAAAGTCAAATTGGAAAACTTAAGGGTTGGAAGCTGTATTAGTTATTTTTAGATTACTGTGACAAAAACACCTGAGAACAACTTAAAGGGACAGAAGATTTTGCTCATGGTTTCAGTTTCAGTCCATGGTTGAATGCTTGGCCCTGTGTGATAGAACAGAATGTGGGGAGCATGGCTCTGTGTGACAGGGCAGACATGGCAGTGGGAGCTGGGGAAGAGAAGCTTCTTCATCTTGTGGTGGACAGGAAGCAGGGAAAAGGAGCATGGGAAGGAACCAAGGTAGGCACAGGCCCGAGGATGTGCCCTAGTGACCTCTTCCTCCAGCTTGGCCCACCTCCTACTCTTTACCACACTCCCCAACAGTGCCACCATATCAAGAATCCATTAAGGAATAATCCATTGATTAGGTCAGAGTTCTTGGGATCCAATCACTTGCCAAATAACCCAACAGCTGGCAACCAAGCCCCTAGTACATGAGCCAGTGGGGGACATTTCATATTGAAAGCACAAAAGAAGCTACCAAGTAGAGCTACAGGAATTTTCTGAAATGACTAGAGAAAGTAGAATAAGAAAAGTCAATGACAGAATGTGAAAAAATTTACCTATTTAAATAATAGGCAGAAGCTGGTCCCTTAAAAAGATTAAGAATGAGGGGTCTGAGAGGTAGGAAGTACAATTCAAAGTAGTACAATTCAAAGTACTACAAACCAAAGGAAAAAAATCAATTCAATTGAATTTTCAAAAAGGAAAAATTCAATTGTAGTACAATTCAAAGTAGTACAAACCAAAGGAACAGGAACTGGTTTACCAATGATGAAGTCTCCAGTAATGTTCTAGATAGCAATTTCAAAACTATTATGAGGGAGGTAATCATGAAGGATTAAGTAAAGGATTAAGTAAAGAAATCATATCAACCAGCGTGGATTTGTGGTAGGAAATTTAAATTGTGTATTTCAAACAAGTCTCAGGATTCAAGTAATCTATGTTGGTGTTAAGCAAACATGCACCCATCGTCTTAAATTAAAAATTTTACTGTTATTTCTTGTTTCTGGCAATTAACTCAAATTTAGTCCTTTGCCTGAATATCTATTCAGATGTTAACTTTTGCCAGAGGTGTGTTCAAGTAAACCACTTATGTGCTAAAGAGGACAAGACTTTTTCTGCTCAAATGGACTTTTCCACAGGCATTTGTAAGGATTTTAAAAGCTTTGACTCGGGAGGCGTGTACACAACCTTGTCCTGTCTCACTGAGCTTTACAGAAGTCTGGGAAGTAACCAGGATGGGGATCAATATGTCCTGAGGTGCAGAGAGTACAAGAAAGAGACTGGGGTCTGATCTCAGGTTCTCCATGTCTAGCCTACAGGCCTATGTTGAGTCAGGGGAGTATAGGAAATGTCTATTCTAGGCCTTATAAACAAAAGCATTTCAGGAAGTGAACTGGGTGCTCATGAATAGGTGGAAGTAGCAGTGTCAGACCAGGTCTGTAGGGATGATCCGGGGTAGAGAATGGAATGTGGGGAATTCATCCTTGGGACCATGCCAATGATATACTTTTTTTTTTTTTTTTTTTTTGTCCCCAGCACCAAGTATTGAACTCAGGGATCTTGAGCCATGCCCCCAGCCCTTTTGATTTTAGTTTAAGATAGGGCTTTGTGCATTTGTCCAGCCTTGGACTAGGATCCTCCTTCGTCTACCTCCTGAATTGCTTGGATTACAGGCATATACCACCATGCCTGGTGAGACTGCCTCTTGACATTCCAGCACTGGCACCTTGGTACTGAAATACAGCCCTGGGTTCCTAAGAATGGAATCACAAGAATGGACTTTAGCACCCTGCTGCTGAAGAATTTTGTCTCATGAGCTTGCTTGTGAGAAAAGGTCACTTAAAAGGGGCAGCAAGATAGCTTCTGACTTACTTTCATACTTTGAATCTTTCAGGAATAAATGTGATAGGTGGAATGTAATTCTTATCTGGAACCCAAGCTCTTTAGTCTAGAAAATATAGTTTTGGGCCTTCCAGTCTCTACACACTAATAAGAGGCTAGGTTAGAAATCGAGTGGGGTCAGTCCACATTTGTCTCACCATTTTGTCTTCATTCCAGAGGATGGCAAAAATAGTGAGCAGGCCAGAACTACATGACATGCCACATGGTGAGGCTCTCTTCTGGGGTCATGGTTGTACCTGGCAGAGCTTAGACAAACACAGGTCTGACACTGCTGAACAGATTGTTGTGACTGTATCTGCAAGAAGTGTGCTTGAAAAGCTGTGTGTAAATCAGAATTTTCTACTTAGATCTTATTTCTCCCAGTATGTCGGGGTATTCCCAGGGAGGGAAGTGAGGGAAAGGAACTAAAAAGATTAGATAAAATCTCAAGGCAACAATGACAAAAGAAATGATGAGATAAAAGGACTGGAGGTTAAAAAATCAAACTCAATCCTAAATTTTAGGCCAGAATGAAAATTTTGAACACACCACCAGGTAAACCTACTGCAGTAGGTACTGCAAGTGTCACAAACATGGCATGATGGTGAGGAACCGGGCTTCAGGATTAGGGTAATTCTGGCCCTTCCTCCTCGTTACCTCCACTAGCTAATCTCTGAACTAAAATCTCACCTGAAAAATAATATTCATTCAAAATTGGTACACTCAGGAAATGAGAAAATATGCAAACAATTTAAGTCTAATGGTAGTAATATTCACACCTTTTACGTACAAAATTGTTTTCCCTTTTAAGAAAAAAGTACTCCTAAGAAATTAAGTCCATCTAGAAAAGTGAGTTGTTTAGCCTTACACCTTCCTTCCCTGTAAGATAAGTTATAGGGCTGGCACATTTTTAGTTTCAGTTTATGTATTATAAATAATCCTATCCACAGATTTGTAATTTGTTACCTAAAAGTTCATTTATAGCAGTACATGTTAAAAGTCAATCTACTTTACATGCTTAACAACAACAAAAACAATGGTCTTCTACTGCAGGAGCCAAGGGAATCTGCACTTCTGAGAATACCCAGTGTTTTCAGCTCAGAGAGGAGGATATTGGCTAATACTTCACACTTTGTTTGGCTCAGTTCTTAACTTCTCAGAATACAAATTCTCAGTCTCCACAGAGGTCATACATACCTCTAGCACCAAAGAACATGAGATTCTTGATAAGACTGGGAGCTCCTGAAAGGTGGGTACAAGATCTCATTGAACTACTTTTTAGTGACTGCTACTGGCTGCCCTCCCAAGCCAGCAAGTCTTTTCCATCTTTCCTAGATTATGGTACTTCGTTTAGATGGAAGACCACATGCTACAGGCAACAGGCTCCTCCTTCAGCTAGACAGGATGAATCAAGAGTCTAAGCTAAGTAATTGGCTTTAGGGTAGACTGAGGGTGTGTGGAATGCCTAATGGTTGATTCTGGGAAAGATTTATCTTTCTCTCTGATAAAAGGCATTAAGAACTGCCTTTACTATCCTACTTGGGATGTATGAGGGTATATTTTAGTTGCAGAGGCCATATTGTTAACAGCAGGTAGTAGACACAGAGATGCAAAGCCAAAGATCATGAACAGAAACATAAATCTGGTCCTTGCACATACCCCACTGAATGAATTCAAGTGCTCTACCTCTAAGTTTTGTTTTGTGAGGTGGGGGGTGTCTCACTGTTGCCCAGGCAAGTCTCAAACCCCTGAGTTCAAGTGATCATCCTACTTCATCTTTCCAAGTAGCTGGGACTATAGGTTAAGTGCCACTGTACCTAGCTCTAAAATTCTTACCAAGCTAAAAGTAAGTTTTCTTATAGCTTAGGTTAGTGTTAGACTTTCCATTACTTGCAAATGAAAGCACCTCAGGTGTTACACAACACTTTTCAGTTCACTGTACCCTTGGTTGTTTTGTCTGCACTTGATATATGTGACCTCCCCTCTGCCACTTCCATGTCATTGAAGATGCAAAGATATGGAAAATAGCACCCAATAGTTGACTGCTTTTCTTTCGACAGATTTCTGATTGTTGTTGTTAGTACTGGTTCCATTGCCAAGTGCTTGGAGCTCTGGTTTGCAGGCTCAGCCTGTGTTGGGAGTGTTCCTGCTCTCCCCCACCCTCCCTGTCACATGCTTCTTTCTTTCCATAACTGCAAACTGTGGGCTCCAGTCCTGTGGTGCTGGTGGGGTTGTCACAGAGCTGCAAAGATCTGTGTACACAGATGAGTAAGTTTTTGACTCAGAACATGACTGCAATATGTTACAGTCCCGGGACTGGTTGTTGCAGATTCTGTTTCAAAAGTGAGAAATTCCATCCCCAGCCCTAGTTTCACTACTTTGTAGGAGATGAGATTTCCTCCTGCTTCCAGACTCTGTAGTCCAAGGTAGTTGTGGCTTTAAAGTTCAGTGCACTTGTCATTCTGCATACTTCTGGGTTACAGAAATCCCTATACTGGATTTGCACATAGCTGGTCCCTTAAATTTTCTACTATTTCCCATTAAACACTTCAGAAATAACACCTACCAAGGCACTCCCCAAGTCAACTTCTGAAAGCCAGTGTCATGTGAAAGAGGGAAAGGAAGGACGGCTCTTTGGACAACATTGCTGCCATACAACAATGGCGATAAATCCTAAGTGAAGAGCAAAGTTCCAATGAATAAGATATGATGTGTGTGTCTTTTGGATCAATAACAGAAGCACTATTTTGTCTTCTGCTATTCTTATCTATTCCCCCACATTTCATGAGACCAAAGGAAGTACGGCATTGGGTACATATTTACAAAACGGCATATTTCTCACACAAAACATATGTTGTCAATTACCTTAAGACCCAGTCAATTTAATATAAAATGTTTTTAATTGTTTTTGAAAACATTTAAAAAACAATTTTGAGCACTTTTAAAAAGAGAACTGAAATGCTACGGCAATATTCAACTACTGTAGTTTCAGCAGGTACAACAGACAACAAAACACTGGGGAAATCTGCCTCTGCACTAAATGAAAACATGAAACAGGGCTTGCTTTTGTCATTTACGGTGTAGTAAAGCACACTGGAGTACAAGACTAGTATTTGAAACCTCAGATGCACTGCACAAAAAAACACTTTCCTTCTTTTCAGTTCAAAAGTCAGTGCTTATTGCAATTATATGCAAAATTATTTACTTCATGAAGTCTTATCATGATAAACAGTATGTAAAATGTTTTAAACATCAAAATGATGAAAAAAATCTGAGAAAAGAACATATTCAACAACAACTAAGCAGAATTAGTAAACATAAAAAAAGTAAATAACTTGTGAATAACTATGCTTGCCTGGTTAACACTGAACCAGTTTCAATACAGCCAAGGGGAAAAAAAAAGTGGTTACAGGAATACCTAGTACTGTACAAGATAAGTCAATAACACTCATGCACATTTTGTGATCGTGTGTATTAACATGGTGAAGCAAACTAAACTTAATTCTTCCTGCTGTAATATTCTCACGTAAGAGAATAAGAAATAGAAATATCTCATTGAGATCAATGCACATTGCTACATAAGACAATTTTATCTGTCACTGTGATGACACTTTGTCTTTTCATAATGAAACACATTTAAAAAGTTTTATCTGTGGACTGTACTGGTTGCATTTATCCTAAGAGATGTGCCTACCACAGGTTCAACAAATTTAGTGCAATATATAAACCCCAGAAGGTTTGCTGGACGAATTCAGCCAAATTTAAAGAGTTTGCTGCAATACTATACAGGGGGTAAAAATCCTCCAGTCTCTATATTTTTATCAAAAAAGATTTCCATTATTTTTATATTAGTAGGAAGCTAATAATGTAAACAAGGGATTAGAATGGCCTCAAAATCTCCTTTTCAGAGTATCTCATATAGAAAGGCTCCCATCATCTGTTACAAGAAATCACACAGTTGCCTTTGGGTATTGCATACTTTGGTGTGCAGTAGTGCTGTGTCTCAATGTACAGTGAAGAAATACTGAGCATCTAGGGAAAAATCTAACAGATCATTAAATCAAGATAACAGCAAACACATAAATGCCAATAACTAGGACATATCAATATATAAACCTCTGAGCCAACCCTAGCACCATTTGTTTATCAAAATATGTTAATATTCTATCTTTCAAATTTATTGAACAATGAAACCTTATTAAATTAAACCCTTCATCACATTTGTTAAATATTCATTGATTGTAGTCTTCTGATTGGTTTAGGAATTAAGGTACAGGAAAGCTTAGCTAGGTTTAAGGTAGCACAGCAAACGGTTTAATGTTAGCTTTAAAAACTTAATCTTAAAATCTCTCTGAAAGTGATCTTGAAACTCACCTAGGTGGAGCTGTCACCTAATGAGTAGATTTGTGTCAACATGAAATTCATAAATATTATTCATAAAACAAAATGGGAGCCATACAGAGAAACGTTTTAAAACAAATCCTGAGTGCTTTGCTTCTTTTGCAATTGTGTCTATCACAATAAATAAATTAAGCATGTAATAAAACATTCCTCTTCTTCAAGTACTGTAATTATCCCCTTTGTTTTATCAGAGATATAAAGATTTGTGGCTTCATACCTAAGGTGGTGAAATGCTTTTTTGCTGGGCTTTTAATGTCATCTCCTTCCTGCTTATTTGTTTTCGAAATGGATCCCATGATCAAGCTGTACGCTGTACTCAGGAGGAGCAAAGGAGCCCATCACTAAACCGAGGAGGAAAAGTTGATTCTAAAGAATATCATAGTGAAAAATTTCAAAATAAATCTCAACGGTAACTTTAATGTGTATGTGTAGCCACTATGATGAAACAAAAAACGCTTTTCCTTTGCTTCTAAGAACCCTAGCTCAACTAGCAAGCAATAACAATGAAAGTTTTCTGACATGCCTGTATTTTCATAAATCACACTCTCTGCAGTTACTTGTTCCATGTGTCTGTGTGTGTGTGCTAGCTCCACATAAAAATCAGCATTTTAAAAATCAGATGAATGCAAGCTCACATATATAAATGGCTACTATTTTTTCTCTGAAGAATTTTAGTGCAGTTTTTCCTTTCCTCAAATGACTATTTAATTTCGCATTATCTTCTCCTACTTAAGCCCTTCGTTGAGAAAGTAAATGGTACCGAAGCCCCAGAACGTCCCACAGCAATCCCTCACCTACAGTAGCCCTATGCTTCAAGCCTAAATATTTATAACCTGAATAGTATCCCTGTTTTGAGGAAGACTTTTTTTGTCTACAGTTCACCTTAGCTATGATTTCATACCTAAAAGATAATGCCAACAAGAAAACAGCCTATACCTAAAATTGATGGTTTCTTCTAAATTCTGTGCAGATAAACTGATGAATTAAAATGAACTCATACAAAATAAAGACCTAGACTGCTCTTGTAAAGGCTGGATAGTTGATTCTTTACTAGTAAACAATGTGATTAAAAGGGGAACATTATAAAATTTAAAACCTAATACTTGTTCTTCTACAGCCTACTGTCTTCAGAAACTTGTTAAGAACTGAGGCAAGTCTAACCATTTCCTACTGAAGAAGAAACCACTTCTGCAGCAAACGCTTTTAAAATGTCACAATTAATAGTGTTTCTGCTGCGGGAGGCACTTCCATTAAGACAAATACAATACGTATGTCTTTAGATACAGTGTGCTACATATTATAAAATACAATTTAACCCAACATTTCAACAGTAGGATGGTCCTTGCTTTCTATCCATTCAAAACCTGATGAAGTCATAGAGTTCATGGATTCACTGCAAATTTGTTGAAACAATGGGTCATTCTTTAATTCTTCCAGTGTAGCTTCATCATCTTGTCCCTGCTGACGACCTGGATCAAACAGTAGATTTGGGTCTAAGGTATTCAAATCATTGATGCTGCCTGAGAGGTCAGAAGACAACCTGATGTCGCTAGAGAAATCAGACGCAGTACTGGTGAGATCGGATGCTACCTGACCTACTACTAGCTGTTGGTTGGTTTGCAAGCTGTCTCCACTCAACAGGTCTTTAACAGTGTTACTGAAATCTAACTGATGTTCTCCAATTTCAGATTGTGCTTGATTATCTCCAGGAGAAAAACTGATCTGATCGGTGCTATTACTTTTGGTGAGGTAAGATGGTGTTTGGAATTCATATACAGAAGTGCTGGAATCGATCATACTCTGTGAGTTGGCACTAGGAAAAACAGTGGAAGTTTCCAAAATCTGAGTGAGATTCATCCGGGCCGTATAATTGGAAGGCAGGTTGTTCATTCCCAAACCTCTCACTGCATCATCATTGTCAGAATCAAGTTTACTCAACAAAACATTGGTTATTTTTTTACTGTTTGTTTGCTTCTGAAGGGCGTTTGGGAAGGCAGTCTGCATCATGACTGTCAGTGGAACTGACTGACTTCTTTGAGCTATGTTATTGGCACATGCATCTGCGTGAACATTTGTGAAAACATGAACTTCTGGGGTTACTGGACTTCCAAAGGGGGTCACATTAGATCGTGGGATGTTAGACACAGGATAGAGGGTGCTTCCGCTAAGATTACGTTGGCGATGGACGGCCGGGCTCACACTCCGGCACCTGAAGTTGCTGCTGGCAGACGAATTAGTTCCTTTGTTATCAAGAGGGGCAGGGACTGCAAACCCCTCCTGTTTGTTGGTGTTGTTTACAGTGGCGCCCTGATGCTGCACAGGGGAGACAGGAGTCAAACGACCAAAATGAGTGTCGTGATGTCTGGATTGAGACTGATAAGACTGTCCGGGCACCGCAAAAGCATGAGGTTTCCTGAAATGATCTTCCACTAGCTCCTGGTAGCTTGGGAGAATGCTGTGGCCAGAAACTGATGAGTTACCAACCCCACTATACCCGTTATTCATCCACTCAAGCTTGGTTTTATCGGGATGTGTGGCCATGGGTCTCTGCATGGGTTTCACAGGGCTGCTTGAGACAATGCTGGCATCATGGTAAGCCATACTGGAGCTTATTGGGGTGAATGCAAATGGATTCCTACATTCAACTGGGCTGGGAGGGACACTACTGCTGCAGTTAGAATGTGGTGTACCGATGGGTGTGTGTCGACTACTTCCTAAAGCACTGTCCACAGGCGTAGTCTGGGCCATCCTAGAACAAGGGCTCTCCCTCGACAGACTCTGAGACCCAGCAATCATCTCAGATGTTGGGGTTGGGGTCGGGGTTGGGGTCGGTGTAGGAGTGGGTGTGGGTGTGGGTGTGTGGATTGGAGTGCCGTTGCTATGGATTGGATGGTAGAAGTGGGTGCTGGAGGCATGAGATGACATGGGAGCTCCTGGGGTTACCGACTGGCTCTGAAGGGGCATTCCCAAGCAGTTCCCGTAAGAATGGGAGTTGTTCATGGACATCTGCTGCTCCATAAGCACCAGCTCTTCCACAATGCTGTCTTGTGTGAGCTCATCATCAAAAGGAAAGTAGCTCTCATTTGTCTGGGAAACAGAAGACTCAAACTCCTTCAGTTCAGGCTGCAGAGGTAACTGATCAGAAGACTGTGCTTGTATTTGATTCAAAGCAGATTCCTGTATCTGGCTATGTGACTGCTGGTTATATGCCTCCTGCGGCAGTCCTTCTAATTCCCAAACAGACTTCTCCAAATCGTTGATATCAGGGTGCTCAGCAACTGTCGTAACACTGATGCTTTGCTGTTGTCCACAGCCGGCAGGTACAAACTCAGAATCCTTAGCGACTTGCTGCCATTCATTTGGATTAAATCTGTCGTCTGATTTTGAATCACGGTCCAAGAGAAAGACACTCCCTTCAAGTTTTATTTTTATATCTGGAGATGAAGATGGTGTTGTTTGCTGTTCCAGAGCTGACTCACTGGCAATGAGCGCTGGAGAATTCAAGGGTTGATTTTCTACTACATGTGAACTGACACTGATTGATACCTTGTTAGGGACTGGAGCACCTGCTGTTGAACTTTCTGTTTTCCCTGAATGTGGAACCTTTTGGTCCTTCTTAACACCGCCTGGTTTCTGACCTTCCATGATAACTGCAGAAAGCTGTTCCACAATTGGTTTCTTTACAGGAGGCACCTGGGATTCTTGCAATGTAGAAGATAGTCGTTTTCTGGGACTTTTAGTGCATAATTTAGGGTCTTTATTTATTGAGTCACCATTAGCTGGTGAGCTGGTGCTGGTGAAAGTTAAGTTCTGAGTAGCAACTGAGAGAGTGATAGTGCTTTGATTATTGCCTGCTGAAGTGCCTGGCAGAATGTCATTACAGCGACTTTTACATTTGGTCCTCTGGTCACAGACCTTAGTTGCTTTGATTTCAATGATGCCTTCACCTGAAGGTTTTTGCACCGCTCCATCTGCATTACTCTTCTGCCCCGAAAGGGCACTGGGTGTTGTTTGGGGAGTTTTTGTCCCGTCAGAACTCTCCTGGCACTGTACAGGATGCTCATCTGATGATGCTTCAGGTTCCATCTTGACTTCCACAGATGCTCCCCCAGCACTGCTGGTCCTGGAGCCAGGGGGATGAAGAGAAACAACAGAACCATTCTTGATCTGTGGAACGCTCCTTGATTCTTCGGCCGTTCCAGTAGCACTGTTGACTGAGGCAGAATGTTTTAGAGGGGCATTATTGTTGCTGGGCGTGAGGGATATTGTTGTCATTTTCACCACATTTAGAGAACTCATGTGTGAAGCGGGTACAACAGCGGTTTTGATGGGACTGCTAGTGAAGAGGACAGTAGTTGGAGAGCGGATGGTGAGTGCACTGGTGTTGGCTGGCTTGGGTAAGATCTGAGGGTAGCGGTGCCGGGCAGAACGGTCCCCACCAGGACTGGCTGGAACGTTCTGAGGAGTCTTTGGTGTCTGTTTCACAGACTGCATGTGCTGAGTGACCACCTGCACATTGAGGGGAAGAACTTTGCCATCAGGAGAACTCATTGGACTTGGTGAAGTTACCAACTGCCTGGTTCGCTGGACCTGAGAAAAGGTAGAAAACAAAACAAAACAAATCACATTCAACAAGGGTAGGATATAAACAGTACTTCATATACCTGAATAGTATCAAAACATTTATTAAATGTTAACCTTAAAAAAAGCAGTCTTATGTTAGAAGAGAGTCTTATACAACCAGACACACACATAACAAATGCAACCATAATGCAACATAATTACAAAATACAGTAATCCATAGGAAGAAGATTAAGAGGGTCTTTAAGTTAATAAAACTAAAGAATTCACACCTATGATGAATAATGATTTAAGGAAGTTACCCAAAGAAGAGATAAAATCTTGAAGATAAAACTATTAAGTATTTGGTGGAATTGATGTCAAGAAGATGGTTTTGTTATGAAGAGACTGTCTTATAAATGGGTCTATCTTGGACTTTAGTAACTCAACCACTGTGGTTAAGGTCCCAAAATTGCTGTCTACCCGAGTCTGCCCTATAGTCAACAGTGTGGCTACCAGCTATTTAATGTTATTATTAATGGCATGACAATGATGAAGATAATGATTAGAACAGGAAAAATGATAAAGTTTGTCTTTAATAACATGTAACATAAAGTATCACCTTACTTTTGCAGGATGCACTCATTTTAAAAGTCCCTTTCCTGTCTGACCAACCTCAGTTGTATGAGGCAGTAAAGGAGGAGACAATTCACTCCGATTTGTAGAACAGGAGACAAGCTCAGAGTGGTTAAGGGACTTGCCCAATGTCCTACTCCTATATCCAGCCAGCCACAGAAACAGGCCTACATTAGATGATCATGTACTGATAAAAATTATAAATTTTATAATTTATAAAAAATATCATTTTATAATTTTGATTCACCTTAATGTTAAGAAAAAGTTTAAACTAAAAAGTTTGCAGTTATATTTTCTTGACTCAGTCAGGGCTAAAATAATTCTGACAATGGCTCACTCTTATGTAAAGCTCTGACTTTTCGTATGCTATATGCATACTTTACACATCTTGGATCTTCATATTTTCACTTATATTAGTTTTATAACTTGCCTTGTATATCAACAAACCTCCATTCTGAGTGAAAGATGTGTAACTGAAAGGGAATCTGAAGTCACAAAACCAGTCTGTGATTGCATCTACAAGTACACTTGCCTCCTTCTCATCTATGCTGTTAATAAAATGACCCATTTCCCACCAGCCCAGTACAGCCAAACACTATTTAATACTATTACCGGAATGGGGCTAGGGACAGCTGCCACAACGATACCAATGGGCTGAGGAGAGAGGATGGCAGGATTTCCATTAGGAAGATTAGCCACTCCATTGGCTGTAGCGCCTTCTGATTTTTTTGCTGAGGATTCTCCTGGTAAGGGAGACTGTAGTTTCTGTTCTTGTTGTTTTTTTTGGATTTTCCGTTGCAACTGCTGTTTAGCGTCAATTGGAGATGGCAAAGTCTTCACTTGAGGCTGAAAGGAATTACTTTCAGCTGTAGGTATAAAAGCAGAAGGCTGGGTAATTCCTTTAATTCCTGAAAATAAGCAGAGGAAAGCTAAAATAAACACTGTCCTTTGCAGAAGGCAGTTACAACTAGATTTCTTTGAATATGTAGCCATTTATTTTTAACTCAATTTCTTCACAAAGCAAATCATGAGGCTTCCAATTTATAAAACATTTGTCAACATGGATTTGACATCTTAAAAAGATAGTTAAGACTCTGGGGAGAATTTTAGTTAAATTATAATGGTGGATGATTTAAAAAGAGCAACTATGTCACAAATGTGAGGAAGTAAAAATATATATGCCAAGATAGCAATTTTACATTTTGCCCTCTCCTTTACAGAATGAGACTCATTCATTTCCATGATTTTAATAGTCAACACAGGAGAAGTACTCACTAAGTATTTGCTAAAATCATCCCATACCTTAGAAAAAAATTTATGTGGGGGAAATAACATTTAAATTTTACCAGTAATTAAAAAAAAATAGGTACCTCTATTTTAACTGTTATGATTATCCCAGTATAACCAAGAGAAACTAAGAAGCAGAATTTCATAGTAAGACTAAGGTTAAGATATTCTAAAAAGTGTCATCGAGAAAACTTTTTAGAGTAGCAAGGTAACTGGTAAAAAAAAAAAAATAGTAAGAAAGACAATTTTGTTTTATCCTGGTGCTGGGGATCAAACCTAGGCAAGGCTCTAGCACTGATATTCCCAGCCCCAGCAAGATATAAATTCTAATTCAAGAAAAAACTGACTATGTAATACAATTAATCTTTTCAAAAGCTCGTTTCACATTTAAGGAGTGGCATTAAAATTATCAGAAAGTCTGCTGTGGTCAGCAGCTACCAATGGTGAGAAGAGGGAGAGGAAAACGCTCTCCAGTTGGCACACCTGGCCTTTGCTTCCCCAGCCCACCTCCTGCCTTCAGCATTCTAGTGGGGGCGGGGGAGGAGGCAGCAGGAAAAGCAAAAGGAGTGCCTCTAACTTCCACTCACTGTCTGTATGGCAATCCCTCATCTTTGACCCTCTTTTTAATCAAGTAAGCATTACTTTTCTCTTCCTCCTGGGCCCAGCCTCAGCTCCACTTCTCAGCACCTGCACCCAGGAGGGCCCCTGCCAATGGCCCGCAGCTCAGCTGTCTTCTTTCTCCTGCCAAGGTTTCTGGGCAGCAGTGAGTTCCAAGCAGCTGACTTACAAAAGGAACATTTGTAACACAACCTGTCCTCAATATGGAGTCTATATTTATAAAAAGCCAAATTTGCCTTCAAAGGGTGAAAATGACATTGCTATCAAGAATATTTAAAAAGAAATGTAGTAAGGGCTGAGAACAAAATTTCAAGAGATTTTAAATAAGTAATGATACAACTGGTAAACTGTTTAGTATTCCCAGCTAACTGCTTTCAAAAAGGTTAAAAGCTGTTCAATGTGTTTAGTACTTTTGTTTAAAAAGGACCCTTGACTTACACTTATAGCTTAGAAATTCATTCATTCTACTCATTTAACATTTCTCTGTCAGACTGTGAACAAAGTGGGAGAGGAGAGAAATGGAGGCATGTCTTTTCTACATGATTCTTCCTGACACCATCATGACACTGATGTATCAGTATCAGGAAGGGTAGAAGAAAGAGAACAAAGAAATTTGCAGGGTCCATACCTTTTAAAGCCTCATTTTGCCAGAAAATAGAAGACAGTAAGATATAACTGAGTTAACCTGCCATTTGGAGACAGACAAGTCAGGATTCAAGTCCTGGACCCATTACTCATGTGCCCATGGACGAGCAACTTAACCTCCCGAGTCTCCTGATCTGGCGATCAGGAATAAGTATCCCCCATTTTGCAAGAATGCTGGAAAATCAAATGATGAGCTGCATCAGGCTGACCAAGCACTCTCTTGCTTGTGGGTAAGGTTAAGGGGAACAAACGGATTTAGGTCATGCAGTTTACATGCAGAAAGGAAAAATTATTTGCTCTTGTGAAAGACTATTTTTCTGAAAATGGTCTTCAACTGAGACAGACTATATACAGAAATCCCATAAATACTGTAATTCTGGCCAGGATAAACCTACTGTAGATTAAAAAATATTTGGATTTAGCACTTAGTAGAAGAATCACCTTAGAAAATACGTTTCGTGTTAAAATATTTTTCAATTAAATAATCTTCTAAGGTAATAATGCAATTCACTCTTTTTTGGGTTTATAAAATATGACTGAAAATGCTTTACACAGCTACTAATTCAGGAGGGAGTCATTTATTCCAGCAATACTGTTAGCTCCTAAAACTATCAATTGCAAAAATTCCTCTTTGAAAAAAACTCATTTGACTGTATACTTAAAAAAAAAAAATCCCTTTTGCTATTTTATAGCAATGTTTCACACAGTTTATATTTTGAGACCAAGTTTTCCTATACAGAGTTTAAAGATCATTTTATTGATAGCTTAGTTTTTAGAACAGGAGTCTAGAACAGAATTTAAGACTTAACCTCATTAATTTAGATACACAGATCTAAAAATACATATCCACACTCTTCACACTTAAAAACAGCAATGGGAGACTAAATAAGATATGAGCAGGGGAATCCAAATAGTTGTATATTTCAGCAGTCTCACACCTTAAGTTTTATAGTGAAAGGATTATCATTTTTATTGTACTGGCCTAACAAACCCATTTGAATTTAGTATAAAGTGGAGTAAGAATGGCCTCATACAGGTTCTAGAAGATGAAGTTCTTTGGTCCAAGTCTTCATTGCTGCTGGCTTTAAACACAGCAGCGTGCTGTCAGTTTTAGAATGGCAGAACTTCATACCTGCTGGTGCTGCTGCCATCACCGTCAGAGCCGCCATGGACTTGGTGCCTATGTAGTGACTTTTCACAAGGAAGCGAGCTAGTTCTAAGACCGTGTCAAATGGCTGGCTTAACACTTTCTGTGCCCACTCACACACAAGACGGCAAGCAGAAGAGATAACTTCTTCATCAATGTTTTGAAGCTGTCCAGAGGGTTCAACTCCTTCCAACTAAACAAAGGAAAAGGGAAAAGTTCACTGAAGCACAATGAAGATATGCAAATTAATTACTGTTACAATTTAAATCTGAGGGGTCAAAGCAATATGAAGTGGGTGCTGGCAAACACAGCCCCAGTACACAGCAGCATGGCGAATACAACATTTTCAATGGCCTTTAAACAAACATGGGGACTCACGGATGTCTTGGATCTTTCTAAAAGGGTTTTCTAAAAGGAATTAAACAAATTATGCTAGTAGCCATATTTTCTGCAAGATTTAGCCGACACATATACCATAGCTATCTTACAACACTGTTTCTTCTTGACTGCACACACACACACTCACACACTCATAGTCAGTATCTATCATGGACACATCTATGAATGATGACTGTAGGTCTTTGTTCTCCTGAATCTCATGCCAATGTAGGTCATATATGTTAACATCTTTCAGCCACTGTGGGATTTTTTTTTTCTCTCTCAATTCTTTGTACAAGGCACAGTTCCTGGTTCTTGGATTTACCCAGATGAACTGTGCAAGATACATTTCAATTCTGATATAAAGGTGTAATTTTTATTGAAAAGAAATGGTAGAATTCTTACCCCATCTCCAGTTTTGTGAAAGTCAAGGTTGGGCAGTGTTGGCATATGAACAAAAGCTTTTTTTCTCAGTCCACTGTAGCAATATGTAATAAATAGTTAAGGTTGGAAGTACTCTTAAATTAAATAGGCTGCCTAGATAAACAGCCTTGAGAAGTAACTGTATATGAAATGAGAATAAAGTGATCATAAGATAACATCTATTTTCTGAATTCTTGAGTAAGAAAACCTTAATATTAAAATCTCAGGACACTTTCTCTTAAAACTGGAATTGTTCTTGTAGTTTAACTGTTATGGTCTTAATGAAGTGATTCGCATCTGTTATACATTTTATGAATAAATGTTCCAAATATGCTATTCCAGGTACCAGTAACAAACAGGTCAGAAGGAAGGGAACAGCCCGATGGAAACCTGGCACAGGGAGGGGAAACTTTAGCTCAGGGCTTTGGGACGAAAACAACTCTTAAGAGTGTCACAAGGGCTTTAACCTTTTCCCTTCTCTTTTTCCACTGAAACACACAGGATTATCACCTGTAACATGGCAAAGACACACCAAAACATTCTGTGTGTACAGGAAACAAGGATAGGTCAAGCAGCAAGTGGTTAAAGAACACCTGGAAACAACTGGAAAAGCAGCCTTCTTCCCACCCTCCACAGTAGCTAAGCAGGAAGAAAACAAATTACTTCTAATAACAGAGACCCTCTCTTTTACAATCTCTTTTCAAGAGTAGAAAAACCTTTAATAAATTCTTAGTTTTTATTTTCTTACTTCTGTTTGCTCCTAAGTACTTTCTTGTCACAGAAAGGACTTTTTCTATGCCCTTGCTTTAATTTTAGTTCAGGCCCAAAATGGCTGGCTGAAAAATATTTTAAAGTAAACATCAATCTTTCAGGAGAAGTCCCACAAGAAATTTTTTGAACGTTGTATTATTACTAATTTTTTTTAAACCAAGGAGATACCTGTGCTTCTTTTTTTTTTCTTTATTCATTTATTCATATGTGCATACATTGTTTTGGCCATTTCTCGCAACCCCCCCCCACCCCGGGCCCCTCCATCTCCCCCTAACCCCCTCACTTCCAGGCAGAACCTGTTCTGCCCTTTTCTCCAATTTTGTTGAAGAGTAGATATAAGCAGTAATAAGAAAGACATAGTGTTTGCTAGTTGATTAAGGATAGCTATACAGAGAGATTCCTAGCATTGCTTCCATGCATAAGTATATTACAACCCGAACTGATTCACTACTTCACTACTTCCCGGTCACCTTCCCATACTGACCTCTGTTGTTTTAAGGTTACCGTATTAGCTCCTCTGCAGTGGGGACATCAAACACTTTCAAGTTTTGTGTTTCCTACCTTTCCATATTCCTCCTGTATGTGTTCTCCCCTTAGCATGCGACCCATGTCTAATAATATCACTGCATTTGTTTTAGATCTAAAGTCCACATATGAGGGAGAACATATGATTTTTGGCTTTCTGAGCCTGGCTAACTTTGCTTAAGATGATGTTCTCCAGTTTTATCCATTTACTCTCAAATGATAAGATTTCATTCTTCTTCATGGCTGAGTAAAATTCCACTGTGTATAAATACCACATTTTCTTAATCCATTCGTCAGTAGTGGGGCATCTTGGCTTTGTGAATAGCGCCGCAATAAACATAATACCTGTGTTTCTAAATCAGGAGGAAAGATAAACTGACAACTTTCTCTACCTTTATTAATATACTTTGTAATTGCTAGAATATGTCATTTTTCAATAATTTTTATTGTTAAAGCAAAGGAGATCAGACCATTAATAATACTTTATAGAGAAAGGTAAAATTTACCATAGTTCTAATAAACACACGAACCATTATTTGGTTTTTTTTTTTTTTCAGTTTGGTAATTGCTAGGAAAATAACATTTGCAGCTATTGTATTTTGAGCTGTTTACATTCGTTGACTTAAATTTATTCTCTAAATACAGTTGCCAGCTGCAGTACAACAGCAGCTACTCTACAGTAAGTGAGAACCCAAACAGATGACGATGATGTTCTGGTAAAGGATATTTAGATTTGCCTCTAGTGCCCAGACGACGTGCCTTCATGTTAGGAAAGACATTTTTCATGATCTTTCCGAAGTCAGCAGCACTTAAGGGATGGTAACCAAGATTGTCACAATAGCTCCTGCAAAAGAAGGAGGGACCAATTTAGAGAGTGACAGAATTCAGTATTAGCATAGTACTACTTCAATACAATCTGATTTCTCTGACAAGGCAAAAAATGGATCTTTCAACTAAGTTACTGCAACTGACAGGACTGTTACCCTGTGGGGACAAGTGTTGACTCGGACTTAGTGAGCTGGTTCTACCCTCCGGGTACACACCACTGCCTTTGATAGCATCCAAGAAATTTGCAGTAAGGTATAACACAGGTACAAAGTTTTCTAATGATGCTTCAACCCACAGCCCACTCTAAAATGAGTATTTCCAGCTCATCTAGGAGGGTTGTGTCAAACTCAAGAAATGGGATCATTTACAATACAATATTCATGCATGTTGGATACTAGAGATCCCTACTAGACAGTTTAAAATTTAGAAACATGGTATGTTAGACCAAAAGGGACCCTAACTATCTTTCTTATTTTACTGATAAGGTTAAAGAACAAAAGCACAGCCAGGTTCTGAAGGTCTATTCCCCCTCCTTTTCCCCATCAACCTTTAATTTTGTGAAAGCTTAAAACTGGAAGTGAATTCAGAAGCTGTACAGTTTAACTCCTAGCTAGAAGTGGAAATGGTCACCTCAATGTGAATACATCCCTAATGGGGACAGAGCTATGTTGTGAGGTGGCCTACTTCAGTGGTTGTAATTTTAAAGAAAAAAAAATCCATTAGAGCTTCTTCTCCATTAAAAAGATCCAGATATTCAATGGTTCTGTTTAAGTCTATTTAGTAAGCATTTCTAGGATACCTATTGCAATTTTGAAATTAGTACTATATAAGAAGCTGTAGATCACTCCGGGCCATGTGGAGACTTGGTTAGTCTACATCTTATTCTCCTGCTTCATAACTTTAATTGCAGGTTGTTTAAGCAAGATATGATATCAATTAAGACTTTAACTTAGCACCAGATTATATTTATACAAGTCTAAAAAAAAAAAACAGTAAGGAACAAAGAATGTTCTGTTCACAGGATGACTAACACTTCGATGCCAATTTTAAAATGGTATGTTTTCCCTCTTGTTTTTAAGAATGAAAATAAGACTAATTTTCAACATGACCGTGAATAAGTCACTCAAAATCCATGGTAGCAATTTAATCTTTAGTGCTTATTTATACCACTGATAAATTATGTATGTTCAGGGTAAATATTACGCAATGGCACAAAATATAAACAAATAACTATAGAAGACTGGTGGCAAAACACAAATACCAGGACACTGAACCATACCTGACATTTTTTGAGTGCTTTGAAAAAAGTCTTATCTCATTTAATCTTCTCAATGATCTTGAGGTAATTTTTAAAAATTTTATTTTTGGTGAGACTGGGGTTTGCAAGTGCAAAGCAGGTACTCTACCACTTGAGCCACACCTCCAGTCCATTTTTGCTCTGGTTATTTTAGAGATGGAGTCTCTTAAACTAGTTGCCTGGACTGACCTTGAACTGCAATCCTCCTGATCTCAGCCTCCCAAAGTAGCTAGGATTGCAGGTGTGAGCCACTAGTACCTTGCTAAGGTTAAGTATTTTTATTAAACACATTTTATAGATGAGGAACTTGTATAGAGGTACATTTAGAAAGGATCTGCTGTAATTTAATTTACTCATCTTAGAGATTATATACTATTGCTGATTAATAACTATAAGCATACTGGATGCTTACCATAAAATTTTATCAATTTTTCTAATATCTATAAAGAGAAGAACTGTCACTTTTCTAATCAAAGCCCTCTTTTTTACCTAAACTGTGACTTCAGTGAGTCTTAGCATTCATGGATTATAGCTCACAATGTACAGAAGTCCAGGGAAGTCCCAAACACATGGTAGAATTACATTCCCTTTAAAGTGTAGCTCACATAATTTGTCTGCTACGTCAACTGCAGGGAAAATGCCATGAAGATGATGTGCTCAGCTACATAGTGAGCTTGGGCTATGGAAACAGGTACTGAAACCCTTTAGCATTTTTAAGGAATAATTATATTTTGAGACTCTGGAAACTGGCACGTGGCATGGATACCTGAGAACCCTGAGCGCACAGCATGAGCCTGTGATGTTTGCTGTCCTGGCGGCGGTGGGGCAATGCAATTGGAAAAGGCCTCATCACTATGCTAAGTCTCAGTGCTGTCTAGTTTAGGTCTTGATGCAAAGTTATCTGTTGTGCTATTAAAGCAAAGTGAGAAAAGGGGACCAGGAACTAGAGAAAAGGTGAGATCAAAAAGAATTAACCTAGAAGGTAACACCCACGCACAGGAAATCAATGTGAGTCAATGCCCTGTATAGCTATCTTTATCTCAACCAGCAAAACCCCTTGGTCCTTCCTATTATTGCTTATACTCTCTCTACAACAAAATTAGAGATAAGGGCAAAATAGTTTCTGCTGGGTATTGAGGGGGGGGAGCGGGAGGGGGTGGAGTGGGTGGTAAGGGAGGGGGTGGGGGCAGGGGGGAGAAATGAACCAATCCTTGTATGCACATATGAATAATAAAACAATAAAAAAAAAAGCAAACTGAAACTAAGATCAAATATCACCTTTGAAATTCCATTGCAAATACTTATTTTGTGGTAATCATACCATGAACAATATATGAGAGGTTGTTTTGTTTGAAATAAAATTAATTTAAACAGAGTTAAATATAAAAAATTATCATGTTTGAAGCTGGGGGTGGTAGCTCACACTTGTAAGCTCAGCTATTTGGGAGGTGGAGACAGGGGGATTGTAGTTCTAGGTGTAAGGGATTAGCTCAGTCTGGGGGGGAGTTATGATACCCTCCATTAAAGAATAAACCAGGTGTGATGGCTCACACCTATAATGTAATCCCAATCATGCAGGAGGTATAGTAGGAGGTTCTTGATCTGAGGCTTGCCCAAGTAAAAAAGCATGAGACCCTATCTGAAAATAACTAAAAGCAAACAGGGGGTTGGCTCAAGTGGTACACTACTTGTTTTGCAAGTGCATGACCCTGAATTCAGTATCCCATACCACAAGATCACCAGCACCCCCTAAAAAAAAAAAAAAAAAATCAAGACCTAAAAATCCATGTTTGCCCTTTTTTTTGGTGCTGGGGATTAAATCCAGGGCCTTTACCACTGAGCTATATCCCCAGGCCCCATATATGGCCTTCTTAAACAGGGTCTTCCTTTTAACTTGCCTTTCCTTCTCATCATTTTAGTATGTAATCCTATGATGCATATGGATGTTACCCAGAAATTTATAAATTGCTAGTAAAGTCCCATAAACCCCAGGGATAGTCACCTGATACACACTTAATATTTAAAAAATTTATACTCTTAATTATTTAATCTCATTAAAAAGTAAACCCTAAAGACAGGTTTGACTCCTCACCACAGCTTTTGAGGAACTGGTCAGTTTGGATTGCTATTTATTAAACAAAGACACAGAGTTATACATACATACATGTATACACACATATGAATAAGATAAAGATGTTGATCACACAGGTAGTACAAGCTTTATATATACACACTTTCGTTTCTGGGTCACCTCAGTTGTTTTACATTCATGGAATAGCTAATGCTCAGATTATTAGACTACAGACATTAACTGCCTACATGCTAAGAATTAACAAAACATTTAAGAAGGACTTGACCCCCAAAACACTGCATAACAAAGAACCCACCTACAAGGCTGTTACGTGACTTGAATTAGAGCTTGCCAGGTGGGAAAATTCTTCTCCTTGGGAAGGCAGGGGTGGGGAGTTGTCCAAGATAATGACAGGTAAATGTGCTGACTGTGGCTGCTGAAGGTAGTGGTAAGTACTATGGGCAACAACACACTAAGCAGAAAGCATAAAGAAAAGCTAGGAAAGAAGATGTTCAGGGATGCTTTACAAAACTCTAACATATTTCTGGGAATCTACAGGCCACACATATGTAAAGGGCTGTGTGCATGTCCAGGAAAGACCTGAGACAGCCCCAAGTTCTCACTTCTGATTAAACTTGAGGCCTCCCAAAAACAGGAAATGAAGGCTAAGGAAGAGCAATCAACCTCATGATTGAGTGTTGATACTATATCCCAACATGCACAGAGCAACTTGGCAAAGACTGAGACACTTACTGGTTCCAGGTATTTTAGGAGATCTTTACAGTATCAGTAGCTCCCCACTAAGCTAAGTGAAGAGACTTAAGTGGACAGACAAAACAAAGAACAGAGATCTGATAGTTCAGAAAAGTCACTAAACAATTATTTCCACAGGGGGTTGATTTGATTCCTAGAGTGCTACATTATGTAATTTTAAATGTGCACTCTGCAAAAAAGAATTTATGAGATAAGCAAAGAATCAAGACATAGGCCTTGGCTTTCACACAGGAAAAAAGGCCATCATTAGAAGCAGTGCTAAGGCAGCCCAGATGTTGGACTTGCCATACAAGACTGTAGGTCGGCTATTTTCAATAAGCCAAAGAGGTAAGTTAAAGGAAACCATGTCTCACCAAATATAAAGTATCAGTAGAGACAAAAATTATACACATGAATAAAAATTGTATCTATAAAATTTATAAGAAATACATAAGAAGTGAATATATGAAATTTGGGAGTGCGAAAGTACAGTAATTAGAAGGAAAAATTCCAGAGGGCCTCAACAGCGGATCTAAGCAGATAAAAGAATCAGCAAATGTGAAGAGAAGGTCAACTGAGATTATCTTGTTTGAAGAGAAGAAAAAGAATGAAAACAGAGGAGGGCAGAGAGAATATATAAGAAACAGCTAAAAGCTTTCCAAATTAATGAAAAGAAAAAAGAAAAAAGAAAAGTTACACATTTGAGAAGCACAACAAACAAGCAGTAAAAGCTCAGAGACCCAAACTACATACACAATAATCACACAGCAGAAAGCCAAAGAAAAGACAGCATCCCAACAGAAGAGAGCTGTGACTCATTGTATACAAGACCCTCAACACTGAGGTCAAGAGGCAGCAAGATGACATGCACACAGGGCTATAAGAAAACACCTGT